AGACGAAAGATTCCTCTTAAAAGATTTTAAATTATTGGACAGTCTGACACTTTGGGGTAACGAGTTCCACACTTTTGCACCGTCATAAGAGAGCTCTTTTTAAAAACTCAGTGCTGGGTTTCGGTAACTTTAAGCACTTCTCTCTACCACGAAGATCGTAGGTATTTTCTTGAAAATAAAAGAGTTCCCTTACAGATATTGGTGCAAGTGCGTTTAAAGTCTTAAACATCATTATTGCTTTATGCTCCTTTCTTCTTCTTTGTAAGCTTTTCCAGCCTAAAGAAGTTAAAATATCACTAGATCTGACATCGTAGCTGCTTTTTGTTATTATTCTTGCAGCTCTATTTTGCATTTTTTGTAATCTTTCAGCAGACGTTACTGGTAAATTATCCCATACCACGTCACAATAATCAAACCAAGGTAAAACGAGAGCCTCATATATGGTAATAGCTGTCTCCAAGGGGATGTAATCGCGGACTCGTTTTATGCCACTCAATCCAGAAGATATTTTTTTACAAATGTAATCAATATGAGCAGCCCAAGACACCCGTTCGTCAATCACAACACCCAGAGTTTTTGCTGTAGAGACTCTAGTAATTGGTTTGCTATTTAAATATATGTGTGGTTCGGAGGTAATTTTCTTTAATTTATCGTAGAGAGAGAGAGAGAGAGAGAGAGGCTTTCTCAGGTTTTGTATAGTACATGGCTACTGCTATCATGACTAAACATAATGAGAGAAAAAATTGTTATTCAAAACACCGGCATCCTCTTTAGTAACAAAATATACCTATCTTTAATTTTTTAAATACAATAGTTTAAAGTTCAACAATAAGAAAAGAAACGAAAGAATAAATATGCAATTTTTTAGACAAAAATGGAAATTTTTTTTTAAAGTGGAAAAATAAAAAAAGCAACAAAAGCAGTTAAAAAAAGGTAAGATTGCAGTTATTTTTTTCTACCCGATAAAAAAAAAACAAAACAAAACAAAAAACAACAGAACAAAAACAAATCAAAACAAAAAACAAAAAAAGCGAAAACAAAAACAAAAACGGAAACAAAAACAAACGAAACTCAGAACAAACAAAAAGACCACAGAAAAATAAAGGAGTTAAGAAAAATAAAGGAAAAAAAAAAAGGAAAAATTCCCCAAAACGCTACATGATCAAGTTTATATAGTCGGCATCGGTCAAAATAGTTCAACCAAGATATTTTCTTATTCATATCACCAAACACCTTTTAATTAAACTGCAAGAACACTAATACGTCATRTCCTTGCATAGCCTTTGTTTTGAAAGAGTATCTTTGATCGATTATTCCTATAGCACTTGGCTTGGTAAGAATCTTACGGATTAAAAGACCATTGTATTTTAAATTATAGCTAGTAAATCAAGCAGAAGCAGGGCGGAAGATTGTTAGAAAAACAACCTAGTTGGTATATATGCTACGTGTGTGGGAAAGCAGACTTGTCTAAAATTTCCCCACTGTCACGATTGAAAAACCCACTAAGTTGCTTAGAAATATGGCTGCCTTTTTATAAAGCCATCGATTTATTCTTATATTGAGTGAACCAATAACTGCGTAGAAATTTTATATTGCCGTGCCTTTGCATCGAAGCGAGGAGAACGTTGAGCTTGCAATGATAGCTAGACATGTGAATAATTGTCCAATGTGTTAAAAAAAGGTCTCTACCATTGCAAGCTCACCGTTCGTCCTACTTTGATGCAAAGGAACAGCTACGTTTAAATATGGCGCATGGAACTGTGAAAGGGACTATTTGATTTAATAGGTTATGAAGAAGCAATCTATACAGTAGAAGCTATCATTTCATGCGAACAATGTCACTCATATCGCCAATATTCTCAGTCTAAGATTTTTTTCCAAKAAACACTACGTGTCAATCTCTTGAGAATAAGAGTTTTTGTTTAAGGGTCAACATATCCATATTGACGACTCTGAAACTCCAGTGTAAACAAAAAGCAGAAATCAGAATAACAAAACAAGCAACACCTGGATTCGAGGCTAAGCCCACATACACTGAAATTTTTACAGACACTCTCAATCACACGCGCCTTCTAGCGATTGTTTCAGTCGCGACGAAGAAGGTTTTGGTGGACGTCAATCACAAGGCGTTTCCATAACATTGTCGGAAAACACAAAGCTATAAAGGCACGTACCTATAGAATGTCATGGAAATGTCTTGATTGACGTCCACGAAAAGCTTCTTCGTCGCAACAGAAACAATCGCTAGAGCGGCGCGTGTGATTGAGAATGGCTGTAAGAGCTGTCAATTCATGTGTCTTCTCATGCACAACTGTTAAACGAAGATAATGATACTCTAGGGAATGACACGTGGTCTGAAATGGGAAAACACTCCGCCCGAGGTATGAAACTTGCAAACGATAATATCTTAAGCATCGTGTCTCAGCACACGTCCAAGGCAAATATAATAAATTATTTGTTCGATTTTAAAAACCTTTCAARTATTCTTCACCTTGTTATTAATTAAACGATTATACGATTGAAAGAGAATAGAATGAATCGATTTTCTATTTGCAAGTTTAATTTTCCCGTTATTTTAATGTGAAAAATAAATAAAGGAAAAAGCAAGAAAGACGAAAAAAAAAGAAAGAAAGAGAAGGAAAAGAAAGAAAAAGTGAGAGAAGATTAGAAAAAAAGAAGAGACGAAGGAAGACAAGACAGCTGTAGCTTATACCTTTAAAGTTTCTTCATCAATACCAGCTTCTTTTCATCCGCTCCTTTTACCTTGAGCGTATTGTTTGGCTGTTTTTTGTATCTTTAGAACCCCATGCAGTCATTCAACCTAAAGTTTTTCTATTAAGTCAACAATAATTTTTTATCACTAGAACAACCATAGGTGATTTGAAATCATGGTGGGCATGATGATTGGTATGACAAAAGAGTCTAATGACAAAACTTAAACGATGACGCGCATTTGATCATATAATACATGCTAATTTGCGCGTTAGGAAAATATATATATTACATAAACAATTATTGTGTGACCAGTTAAACGTTAAACGTTTTGGGCTTCCTGACTTTATTACACGATGAAAATCAAGTAGGCGGTAGATTCTTAAACTCCAGCGAAGGAATGATACATCAGTAAATAAAGCCGATACTACCAGGAACGAAAAAATAAAAAGAGAGCGAGTTTCTGTTTGTCTTCACAATGCTCACGATACTATCACGTCACGATACAATCACGTTTTCTTCAAAGCACACTAGCACGCGCTCAACTATATAACACAACTAAAAAAGGCTTGTTCAAGTTCACTTGGCTACATCTAAAACCAGAAATGATCATGCCCCGAAATAATATTCTTTTTAGACTTCAATATTCCTAGACATGATATAAATCCTCAATATTAATTACGACAGATCTTGGTAGTTTTTAAATATGTTTTAAAAATAGAGCAGTATAATTTTATTTTTAGAAATACAATATCGCTTCGTCAGCCATAAAATTTGATAGATATCCAAGCTTTCGGTCTAATTAGTCCATCCTCAGGGAATAATTAGATGGCGGTTAAAGTGCTTATAAGCCTTTACACAATATTTTCTTTAAATAGTGAATAGTTGATTGTGAAAATAATTCGTCATTTGAATGTCGAGTCTTTGAGATACGAACGTTTATATTTCCAATATGTTAATGACTATGACGTAACATAAGGCATTTGAGTTATTTCGTGGCAACTTTTAATGTTGAACGCTGGACATTTTTTGGAAACAATTTTGTAAGAACCTTTACGTGAGTCACGAGTAAAAGGGTGATGCTTTTAAAATACTGTATTCCAGAACGAGTGCAGTGTTGTATATTAAATGATCCCTTATGTTACG